CTCAGCATCATGTTTTCTTATTGTTTTTTTTTTAATTTTATTGATTATGGTATCACATAATTGTCCTCATCCTCCCATTCCCATCCCAAACTCCTCCCCACATATGTCCATGGCCGCTGGCTAGGCCCATATGCTTGCACACAAATCCTTTGGTTGATCTCTCCTCCTTGACCCCACCCTCCCCTATTTTTTTTTTGTTTTGTTTTTTAAATATATTTTTACTGATTTCAGAGAGGAAGGGAGAGGAATAGAAAGATAGAAACATCAATGATGAGAGAGAATCACTGATTGGCTGCCTCCTGCACGCCCGCCCCTGGGGATCAAGCCCAAAACCCAGGCACGTGCCCCTGGCCAGAATCAAACCCGAGACCTTTCTTTCAGTCCACAGGCGGACGCTCTATCCACTGAGCCAAACCGGTTTCGGCTTAATTTATTTTTAAAAAATATAATTCTTTATTGATTTCAGAGAGGAAGGGAGAGGGATAGAGAGATCGAAACATCAATGATGAGAGAAAATCATCCATCAGCTGCCTCCTGTACACCCCCCATTGAGGATCGAGCCCACAACGCAGGCATGTGCCCCCAGCCAGAATCGAACCTGGGACCCCTCAGTCCGCAGGCCTACGCTCTATCCACTGAGCCAAACCATCTAGGGCACATTTCTTGAGTGAAGACAATTTTTTTGTTTCCTTGGGCTCACGTATCGATTATGTGCATACATTTTATTCCTCGCGGCTAAACAAGCAGGAGTGGAATTGCTGAGTCATAGAGTGAGTGTAATGTTTAACTTTACAGGAATCTGCCGGACTGTTTTTGGGAAAGGCTGCACCATTTTTGCAGGCCCACCTGCGACAGGAGAAGTCGGGGGAAGGGGGAGGGGGGTCCACGCCAGTCAAGGAGCCGTTCTAACAGAGCTCAGTGGTCTCAACAGCAGGCAAGGTGGGACACTCTCTCTTCTGCCAGAAGCCAGTTCCAGCACGTCGAAACTGCAAGAGTTTCGTCGAAAGGTTGATGGAACTTGGGGGGCTCCACAAGGGCTGAGTCACATATGTTATCGCCTGCTGGGAATGGCTAAAGGCATTTCCCCAAACCTGAAAGGGATGGTTGCCTGCTGCCAGACAGCTCAGGGCATCTTAATCGACATGTTATTGCCACCTACTGGCCAAACACCTGAACAGCCACAGGCTCTTGCCTAATCTGACAATGGATTCTGTACCTAACCCTACCCTTTGAAGTGTATGTCTCCACCTTGCTTAGGACAATTTGTGTTAATAAAAAGCAAGGGGTCCTGAGATAAGGAGAACTTGGTTTCTTCAGGCAAGCTCCTCTGGCCTTTCTCCCCCCCCCACCCCCATATGCCTTTCAAAATTATGTTTTGTCTCTGGACTCTTATTTTAAATATATATTTTATTGATTTTACACAGAGAGGAATTGAGAGGGACAGGGAGTTAGAAACATCAATGAGAGAGAAACATCAACCAGCTGCCTCTTGCACACCCCCCACTGGGGATGTGCCCACAACCAAGGTACATGCCCTTGACCGGAATCGAACCCGGGACCTTTCAGTCCGCAGGCCGACGCTCTATCCACTGAGCCACACCAGTCCTGGCTGGACTCTTATTTTACTCACAGCCCCTTCTGTAGGCTTCCTGAACCCTTCTAGATGCCGGAATAAGACCACCGTCATTAATGATGTCCAACGTCCGGCATTACTCTTCCTGAGCTCTGAGCCAGGCTGCTCCTTTGGTGTCATTTTCTGAGGTCTCCTTTCTCGCCCCCACTCAGTCACCACTCCCTGGGTGACCTCAGCTGACCTCATGGTGGTGAATACCACCAGTGTGCTGGTGGCTTCTAACTGTCTGGCTGGGCCTCTCCTGAGCTCCACACCCGTGTACCCACTGCCTCCACAGCATCTCCCCTGGAGGCGCAAGAGCTGGGGCTTGACCTGTTCCTCCCACCGTCTTCTCACTTCTGGAAAAGGAGGGTCTAGACTTCCTGACACGCAGATTGTAAAATCGGGAGTGATGTCCTGGTGGGGCAACTCAGGTGGTTCAAGCATCATCCCAGTATGCCAAGGTTGTGGGTTCAATCCACCAGTCAGGACACATACAGGAATCAACCAACACCCCTGGCTGGTTTGGCTCAGTGGATAGAGCATTGGCCTGCGGACTGAAGGTTCAATTCCAGTCAAGGGCACATACCTGGGGTTCGGGCTCAATCCCCAGGAGGGGGCATGCAGAAGGCAGCCGATCAATGATTCTCTCTCATTGATGTTTCTCTCTCTCTCACCCTCTCTCTCTGAAATCAATACACATATCTAAAATAAATAAATAAAATTCTGCCCGGCTGATGTGGCTCAGAGGTCGAGTGTCAACCTATGAACTCGGAGGTCATGGTTTGATTCCTAGTCAGGACACATGCCCAGGTTTCAGACTCAGTCCCCACTAGGTAGTGTCCAGGAAGTAGCAGATCAATGATTCTTTCATTGATGTTCCTTTCTTTTTTTTCTTTTAAAATTTTCATAGTATTTTAGTCTTTTAAAAAAAATTTTTTTTTATTGATTTCAGAGAGGAAGGGAGAGGGAGATAGAAACATCAATAATGAGAATCGTTGATTGGCTGCCTCCTGCACGCCCCCTACTGGGGATCAAGCCCACAACCTGGGCATGCGCCCTTGACTGGAATTGAACCTGGAACCCTTCCGTCTGCAGGCCGATGCTCTATCCACTGAGCCAAACCAAGTAGGCATCATTGCTGTTTCTATTTCTCCCTCTCCCTTCCTCTCTGAAATCAAATATATATATAGTATATACAATATATACACTGGAGGCCCGGTGCATGGGTTTGTGCACTGATGGGGGCGTGGCCTGTGGGGATTGGCCTGCTGTGGGGGAACCACTGAGCGGCTGTGGACCTGCCCTCTAGGTGGCTGCTGACTGAGGAATTTAGTCTGAGCTGATATACTGGGGTAACATGGTGGTGTGTTCTGTGTCCTGGAGGGACCTGGCAGAGAGCTTTGCACCCCAGGCCGCTTGGTGAATGTCCTTGATCTGTGATGCCAGGTTGGTGACACCATCAGGGATGTTCAGAGCAGCCTGCTCCAGGATCCTCGGCCATCAGGACAGCCTCCCTGGGGGTCCACAGTCACGTCTCCGCCTGTGCCGGCTCCCCGCACTTCTTCTGGAACGCACCTAGAGGTGGGCTCACGCCCGAGTCTGGATGGTCTTAGGTGTTTGATGGGTGCAGAGACCAGGCCTCACGCTGGGCCTGCTAGCAGCTGCTCCCCTGGGTCAGTGCACCTCATAGCGACTGGTTGATGGGTCCTTCTAGTCGTTCTGCTGTTCAGTCGCTGGGATTGTGTGTGTGTGTGTGTGTGTGTGTGTGAAATCCTTCCCGTGACTCTTGTCTTACACAGTAAGCCCAGGGTTCTCACCACAGCTGATCTGTATCCTGTCTTCTTCCTGCTCCCTCCAGCCCTACTCTTTTCTGAACACATCGCCTCCTCCCTGCCTTTTGCTCACTCTGTTCCAACCACGCTGGCCTCCTTGCACGTTCTGCCTCAGGGCCTTTGCACTTGCTGTTCCCTCTGCCTGGGTAATCTTCCTCTAAAACTCCCATGGTTCATCTTCTCCCGAGAGGCCTCCCGACCACCCACAGGACACAGTGCCCTCTGCAGGCTCCTCTCCCCTCACTCTGCTTTCCCTCCACGACCCCCCTCCCTTCCTGTCATACTGGACACGGACTCGCTTCTGCATTGCCCTCCTCCTTAGGACACCGTGAGCTCCCCGAGGGTAGGGATCTGTCCTGCTCACTGCTGAGAGACAAAAACTATTATGGTTCCATTTTCCAGATGAAGAAACTGAGGCAGGAGAGGTGCAGTGACTTGCCCGGAGCTGGGAGACTGAGGCGAGGCTGAGGCACACTCATAAGAGCTGCCGGGATGACTGGTACAGTCCTCAGCTTGTCATGGATGCAGCCAGCAGCCAGGGGCCATCACTGCTTTGTGGGCACCAGAGCGAAGCACCGCCACCAGAGGGCACTGGACTCACAGGAATGTTTCCTCATCACAAGGGCCAGCAGGCCACTTGCTGGCATTTGGTGGAGGGGCTGGCAGCCTGGCCATGCCCGGACAGACTCCCACAATGAAGAACTGTCCTCCCAGGGCCAGCAGTGTCACTGCGGGAACCACTAAACACTGGGCCCAGCGCCTGCCCTGCAGCAGCCGCCGAGAGCGGTTAAAATAAGACAAGGACTCCGCAGCCGCCTGCCTGGGCTCCAAAGTAGCCAGAACAGCCCAGCCAGCGCGGCTCAGGAGCATCGACCTATGAACCAGGAGGTCATGGTTCGGTTCCCAGTCAGGGCACATGCCCAGGTTGTGGGCTCGGTCCCCAGTGTGATGTGTGCAGGAGGCAGCCGATCAATGATTCTCTCTCATCGATGTTTCTGTCTTTCCCTTCCTCTCTCTGAAACCAATAAGCACATATTTAAAAACAAACAAACAAAACAAAAAAAACGGCCCTACCCAGTTTGGCTCAGTGGATAGAGCATCGTCCTGTGGATGAAGGGTCCCGGGATCGATTCCAGTCAAGGGCATGCACCTCCCCAGCCGGGCCCTGATCAGGATGCCTGCAGGAGGCAACCAATCAATGTGTTTCTCTCACATCGATGTTTCCGCCTTCCCCTCTCTTCCACTCTCTCTGAAAATCAATGAAAAAAACAAAACACTAGCTCAGAACAAGCCAGGCTCAGCCGCGGCGGCTCTGTGACCGCGGGCGAGCCTCGGGACCTTCCTGAGCGTCTGAAAAGTGAGGGTGGACCCTCCCTCTAGCTGAGGAGGAAGGCTCCGCTGCCGTGTTGGCTGTGACGGTCAGTGTGAGGGGCAGGTGCTCGGGTCTAAACCTGTCACCCTTCCCGCCGGGGGCGCTCTGTGGGCGCTCTGCGCCTCTCGCTCCGTGTTTGCTGACGGGCTCACCCGGGCCCCAGGGAAGCAGACGGGAGGCCAGGGGACCACAGGTTTATTGGGCTCCACACACGCACGCACGTGTCACAGGACAACGGCACGGTTACTCAGCACACGAGGAGGCCCGGAGGCAGTGGGTGCAGTCTCCGCCCTGCGGCCAGCCCCGGCGGGGTGCCTCCTCCGGGGCAGCTGAGGGAGGGCTCCGGGCCCCGGGCCCCGGGCCTGGGAGGGGAAGCGAGCAGGCAAGTCCATGGGGGGCCGGGGCGCAGGGCCGCCTCACTCCAGGGACTGAAGCATCAGCAGCTGTTTCAGCACCTTTGTCTGGCTGGTCTCACGGATCTCGCCGGCCAGGAACATCTCGTCCACGACCGTGTAAACCTGGCGGAGGGGGTGACGGAGGGCCGGGTGAGGGGAGGGGCCCACCCGGATGCTGGTCCCGACCAGGGAACGGGGAGGGGGGGTCTCCGAGGCCTGAGAGCCGGGAAACGGGCGCCAGCAGGGGCGTGGAGGTGGCACAGGGGTCACGGCCCACCCCGCCCTGCCCGTGGCCCCTCGGCCGCCCCCTCCCCAGGAACTCACCTTGTAAAAATTGAACACCAGGTCCAGCTCACAGACGTTGTGGAAATATTCGTTTAGGACCTGGGAGAGGAAGAGAGAGATCGTGAGAGACGAGCAGGGAGAGACACAGGAATAGGGGTCATCAGACAGAGATGGCAAAAAGGATAGAGACCGAGCGGGAGGGAGATGGGCGGGGGACGGAGAGGGAGAGGAAGAGAAACAAGAAGGGAGATCAGATGAGGACAGACAGGCCTGAGGGAGGGGAGAGAGGAATGGGGAAAGTGACACGTGGGCAGAGACAGACTCAGACGGTTGCATAGACCACAGTTTTGCTGCAGCAGAAACAAGGACCAAAAAAAAGGAAAAAGGCCGCAGCTGGTTTGGCTCAGTGGATAGAGTGTTGGCTTATGGACCAAAGGGTCCCGGGTTTGATTCCCGACAAGGACAAATGCTTGGGATATAGGCTTGGTCCCCGGGGGGGGGGGGGGGGAGGGTGTGTGTGCAGAAGGCAGCGGATCGATGGTTCTCTCATCGTTGATGTTTTTCTCTCTCTCTCTCCCTTCCTCTCTGAAGTCAATAAAAATATATTACACAGGGAAAAAAGGAAAAAGGAGAGAAACACGAGAACAGGAGGAGGGTAGCGATAGGCGGCTGTGGGCGAGGAGGCGGGCGGGCACGCACCTCCACGAAGTTGTGGATGGCCTCCAGGTAGGCCAGGTTGTTGTCGTTGACGTCCACGCAGATGCAGAAGTAGAGGCCGGCGTAGCGGCGGTAGATGATCTTGAAGTTCCGGAACTGCGGGGGAGAGACCGTCGGTGACAGGGGCCCCGAGCCCGGCGGGCGGCGGGGCGGGGCCAGCACACCTCCTCCTGCCTCTCACGCCCCCGAGGCCCCGCTCTGTGCCCGGCTCTGTGCCCGGCCCTGTGCGGGACACGGCGATGGCTGACACGGGCCTGGCGTCCGCCCTGGGCTCACAGCGCAGGGCGGAGCGGTCCGTCCTCAGACACCCCCGGGGAGGGCGGGGCTGGGAGCAGGAGCGGAGGGGGGGGCGGCTGACTCAGCCTGGAGGGCTTCCTGGAGGAGGGGAGACCTGAGGTCTGCAGGACGAGCAGGAGTGAACGAGCAGAGTATCCCACACAGAGGGAACAGCTTGGACAAAAGCCCAGCGCCCAGCAGGAGCCGGCAGGGCCCAGGCACCCTCCCACCTGGCCCGTGGGGAGGCGGAGTCCTCAGCAGGGACCACTCGACCGTGCGTCCACAGGCCCCGGCGGAGCTCCGACCGGGGCGGGCTCTGTGCTGGGCAGAGTCACCACTCGTAACCAAGGCAACCCCAGCCTTGCTCTGAACTGAACTGGACAGAAACATTGCTCAGCAGCACACAGCCCAGGCCGAGCGTGCATGGACGGGCCGCGGGCGCTAGCTAATCCCGTGTGTAAGCGGAGACGCGGGCCGGTGCAGACACGGACGTGTGTGGGCTTGCAAAGGACGAAGCCGTCAGCCAGCAGCTGGAAACCCAGCCCGGGCCAGGCAGGGCCTGGCGCCCCCTGGCAGCAGCCGCGAAGGCCAACGGGAGCTCCTGATGCTGCTGCTTTCCCGGCTCATCCTGGGGTCGGCTTCTGGCACCCTCACAGGGATGCCCGCACACGACCCGGATAATAAGCATGGACGAGGCACACTCCACTTTTCTTCCTTTCTTTAAGACATTCTAATTGGCTTGTAGAGAGAGGAAGGGAGCGGGAGAGACAAAAACATCGACGTGAGAGGGAAATACATGCCCTACCTGGCACGGAGCCTGCCACGTGAGCCCTGAGCGGGGGCAGACGGGGACCTCTTGGGGCTGGGAAGCCGCCCACCCAGCCGCACCCCGCGGCCAGAGCTACCTTTGCTGGAACCGATACCGATTGTGACTTCAGAAAAGGGTGCAGCTGAAACCGGTGTGGCTCAGTGGATAGCGTCAGTCTGCGGACTGAAGGGTCCCAGGTTTGATTCCAGTCAAGGGCATGTACCTTGGTTGCAGGCACATCCCCAGTGGGGGGTGTGAAAGAGGCAGCTGATTAATGATTCTCCCTCATCGATGTTTCTAACTCTCTATCCCTCTCTCTTCCTTTCTGTAAAAAATCAATAAAATATATATTAAAAAAAAAAAAAAAAAGAAAGAAGAGAAGAGAAGATGGTGGGGACCCCGCTCTGGAGAGAGGCTCCTGCTTCCCAGGCCGGAGGCCGTGCCTGCGCTGCCTGTCAAGCTGGCGGCCTCACCCTCCTCACTCCTTCCTGTGCCCGCGAACCCACTGCCAGGCTTCGCAGAGGGCGGCCGGACCCACGGCTTCTGCTACCCACTCAGCTAAGTCTCCTCCTGCAGGCTGAGGGGTGCCCTCCCCCACTCAGGGATGGCCACCCTGTGTCCTGCCAGCCCCTCCCCCGGAACTCCGACTCTGCTCCCTCCTGGACAGACGGACACCTCACTGACCTGCACCTCAGCCTGCTCTTTCCGAAGCCGGTCCTGTCTTAAAGTGACAGTGCCATGCTACTGCTCCACATCTAACCACTGGTCCTTCCTGGCTCTGCCACGGGTCTTCTCGCCACCCCCGCTGCTTCCACACCGGCTCACTCACTGCACCTGTCACCGGGACCCTGGCTGTGGCCTCCCTGCTTCTGCTCTGCCCCCCATAGAGGGTCCCCAAGTCGGCCCATGTCCCCCTTCTGCTCAAAACCCTCCCTGGCTGCCACCTCCCTCAGGAGCCGCGTCCTCACCACGGCCCTGCGCCATCTGCCGTGTTATCTCTGTCCTCATCCCCCCCCCACCTCAGGCAGCTGGCCTCCTGGCTATTCCAGGAATGCCCCAGTGTGTTCCCGCCCCAGGGCCTTTGCACTGGCCAGTTCCCTGGCCCTGGAATGCTCCTCTCCCAGACACCCCGTCCTTCCTTCCGCTTCTTAACTCCTTCAGGCAGGTCTGGCTCAGGTGTCACCTCTCCAATGAGGGTTTTCTGATCGAGCCATTTAAAGCCGCATTACAGCCAAAACCGGTTGCTCTATCAGTGGATAGAGCATCGGCCTGCGGACTGAAGGGTCCCAGGTTCAATTCCGGTCAAGGGCATGTACCTTGGTTGCAGGCACATCCCCGGTAAGGGGTGTGCAGGAGGCAACTGGTCGATATCTCTCTCTCTCATCGATGTTTCTAGCTCTCTCTATCTCTCCCTTCCTCTCTGTAAAAAAAGTATATTTTTTAAAAATAATAATAAAGCCGCATTCCGGCCCCAGCGCACACGTGGGCACTCGCACCCCTTCAGCCGCAGCTGCCTGATGCTCCGGCCCGTCACCACCTGACTGTATCTTTACCATCAGCTCTGAGGGCAGGGACTCAGTCCTGTCTCTTACGTTCGCTGCAGTGTCAACAGAACAGGCTCTCCATTCACATTTGTTGAATTCTTTCGGACACCCAGCCTGGTCTCCTGAACAGGCTAACACCGCGGGAACTAATGGTGGAGACGTCTCGATGGAAAGAGACCAGACGGACACGGCAGACAAAGCAATGCCAGATCCCTGACTGGCTGTTAACAGCCGAATTGATAATTTGGGGGAAATTTAAATACGCATTGAGTATTAGAGTAATATTTAACAAGTATGGCCCTCGCCAGTTTGGCTCAATGGATAGAGCACCAGCCTGCAGACTGAAGGGTCCCGGGTTCGATTCCAGTCAAGGGTACATGCCTGGGTTGCAGGCTCGATCCCCAGTAGGGGATGTGCAGGAGGCAGCCAATCAGTGATTCTCTCTCTCATGATGTTTTTCTATCTTTTGCTCCCTCTCCCTTCCTCTCTGAAATCAATAAAAAACATATCCTATATAATGAGAGGAACATGCTAATTATCAGTTACGCCATGAGGCATAACGACCAACCACATAATGACCGGATCACGGATCTGCAGGAGGGTGAGGCAGCAAACTACAAGCAGGCAGAGGAGAGCTACAGAAGGGGGCAGGGCCCCAAGCTATGAGGGGGATGGAGGGAGCTACGATAGGGCAGCGGTGGAGAGCTATTGCAGGGGAGCAGCAACCTACTGGTGTGCGGATTCATGCGCAGGGCTACCAGTATATATATAAAAGGCAACCCCAAAAATTCCTCAGCCCAAAAGAGAAAAAGGTAGAGAAAAAAAGCAAAAATATTCACACTGATTAAATCTGGGTAGCGGGTGCATGAATCTTCACTCAACGTCTCCCTCGTTGTACTAATCTGTATGTTTGAAAAGTTTCACAATGCAAAGTACCTAACAAAAGGAAGACAGTTGTCCTGGCTGGTTTGGCTCAGTGGATAGAGCATCGCCCTATGGACTGAAGGGTCCTGGGTTCAATTCCCGTCAAGGGCATGTGCCCAGGTGGCGGGCGGGCTCTATCCCCAGTGAGGGGCATGCAAGAGGCAGGCAGCTGATCAATGATGCTCTCTCATCATTGATGTTTCTCTCTCTCTCTCTCTCTCTCTCTCTCTCTCTCTCTTCTTTTCCCTTTCTCTCTAAAATCAATAAAAATATATTAAGGAAAAGGAAGAAGCAAGCTGCCAGCATGCTGAGGGAATGGACGTGGGAAGGGAGGAGGGTCTGCGGTCACTGCATCAGGAGTTGGCAGGCGGGGGAGGGGCGGGGCGGCACAGGAGGCATGGGGGCGGGCCTGTCACCTCCACAAAGTTGGTGTGCTTGGCATCTCGGACCGTGACCACGGCGTGCACCTCCTCGATCAACTTCTGCTTCTCGTCGTCGTCAAACTGCATGTACCACTTGGCCAGGCGCGTCTTGCCCGCTCTGTTCTGGATGAGGATGAAGCGGATCTGGGGGCGGGAGAAGGAAGTGAGAGGCAGGGCAGGGAGGGCCAGCACTACGTCCACCCAACAGCCCCACCCATCACCACCCGGGAGCCAGGGCCACTCCTCCCTGCTGCCGGCCTTCCCCAGGGCTCCCATCCCAGCTCCCCCCGCCCCTGCAGAGATTTCTCTTCCCCAGAGCAGCCAGCTCTGCTCTCAGCTCCAGGACCCCGAGTCCAAGCTAGGCTCCACAGCCTGGTCTGCCTGGCCTCGGACCCGGATCCGCCCTTCTGAGAGCCCATTCCCCCATCAGCAAGACAGGTCTCCTTCTCGGGCTATATTTTTTGCAGGTTAAATAAGTTTGTAAAAACAGTTCAGTGGCCCTAACAGTTCAGCGGATAGAGCGTCAGCCTGCAGACTGAAGGGTCCCAGGTTCAATTCAGGTCAAGGGCATGTGCCTTGGTTGCGGGCACGTCCCCAGTTGGGGGTGTGCAGGAGGCAGCTGATCGATGATTCTCTCTCATCGATGTTTCTAGCTCTCTATCCCTCTCCCTTCCTTTCTGTAAAAAATCAATAATATATATTTTTTAAAAAAAACAGTTCAGTGGCTGGCACATAGCAGGCACTCAACGAATGTTTGCATTGCAGTGCCTGCTGGGAATTGTAGTCCCAAGAATGGGTTTGTGTGTCAGGGTGACAAGGTGGGGAAAAGAGATGGTCCTTGTTCCCAACATTTTGAGAAATTATCCGTTTTCCTCCTGGCAATGCCAACTTCTCTTTTTCTTTTTACTTACTATATATATTTTTTATACTTATTCGTTTTAAAAAAATTGAGATATAATTCACATACCATAAAATCCACCAAACATGTATATAGCTCAGTGGCTTTTAGTATATTCTGATAACTGGGCAAACATCACCACTAATTCCAGAAACATCTCCATCAGCCCAGAAAGAAATCCCCACCCATTAGCAGTCACCCTCCCTCCTCCTGCCCCCAGCAACCATGAATCTTTCTGCCTCTGCATGAATTTGCCTGCTCGGCACATTTCACAGAAGTGGAATCACAGTGTGTGACCTGTATGTGGCTCCTTCACACAGCAGGATGATTTCAAAGCTCGTCCATGCTGTATCCCCCTCTGTGGATATTCTTCATCTTCTGTGTCTACTCAGCAGTGGCTGGACATTCGGGTTGTTTATGTTTTTGGGTGATTCTGAACCAGGCTGTTCTGAACATTCATGTGTAAGTTTTTATGTGGATGTATTATATGTTTTCATTTCCCTTGGGCAGAAACCTAGGAGTAGAATCGCTGGGTCACAAGGCAACTCTATATCTAACTTTCAGGAACTGCTACGCTATTTCCCAAAGCATCTGCCACTTTTTTTTTCCTTCTTTTTCTTTTTCTTTTTTTTAGTTTTGAAAGGCATTGGGAGTCAGAGGAGCTTCAGCTAACAGAGCTAAAGACTACCCCTTGACTCAGGACCCTTGCTATTTATTAACACAATTTGTGCTCAGGCAAGGTGGAGACAATGCCACTTAAGTGATACAACCACTTGCTGCCTCAGTTTATCCACCTGAAAAATAGGGCCACATAAGGGTGTGATGAGGGGTAAACAATATATGAGAAGAACCCAGAACAGTGCTTGGCTCAGCTTATGCACACCGGGTCAGCTATGAGTATCATCCGTGATGGCTAGAAATTTTGCTCTTATGGTTCTGAAATGCCAAGTCAACTGTCATAGGGCTGCTATGAAAACTGAACGAGTTAATGCCAGGAGTGCTTAGCAGAGTGCCCATTACATACTGAGCACTAATAAAATCAGCTATTATGTTGACGGAGGGTCATTTGACCGAGAGGCTAAGAACTCAAACTCGGCAGTCTGCACGAATCTGCTCACTGCGTGTCCGCGGGCAAGCCAGTGGACCTCTCTGGGCCTTAGTTTCCCCTCCTGTGTAATGGACATCACGAGAGTCCCTCCCTCGTAAGACTGTTGCGCAGGTTACCAAACACAAGGGTCGTACAGTGACTAGCACAGACTACGTGACACATAAGCATAGTGGACCCTCAGCTCCCAAACTTAATTCATTCTGGAAGGCTGTTCAAAAAGCGACATGTTCGAAAACCAAGTCATTTTTCCCCACTTAGAAATCGTGTAAATTGACCTAACCCATTCCAGAACCCAAATGACTTTGTTTTATCCTTTCTCAGTTGCCTGTGATCATTGTCCCATGAGCACTTTCACAACCTTGACGGCCTCCTTATCTTTTAAAATTGTACTAATGGCCGAAACCGGTTTGGCTCAGTGGTAGAGCGTCGGTCTGTGGACTGAAGGGTCCCAAGTTCGATTCCGGTCAAGGGCATGTACATTGGTTGCAGGCACATCCCCGGTAGGGAGTGTGCAAGAGGCAGCTGGTCGATGTTTCTCGCTCACCAATGTTTCTAACTCTCTCTCCCTCTCCTTCCTCTCTAAATAAATAAATAAATAAATAAATAAATAAATAAAATAAAATTGTACTAATGGTGGATTTCGCCATGCCAGACTCGGGAGCCAGATCAGACACCTGAACACCTCTTATTACCCTCTGCAATGTTTCCTTTTTTAAGCTCTATTGTTGTGGTCACACTTTCCTTGGCACTTCGCTGCTACCACTAAGCTCCTTAGAACCCAGGGAGACTGTGTTAACAGCGCGAGGTTTAGTGGTGAACTGACCCACCTTCTCTCTCCCGTCGCCTGAGAGGCGCCTGACTGATCACACAGCCATCGGTAGGAGAGGGGTGTTGGGTCCAGAAGTGTTGTTCGACAGCCGAGATATTTTCCCATGAACACTTTGGTCGAGACGGGAGACGTTTGAGAAGCGAGGTTTGACTGTATTAGTTCTTATGTATCACTCACCGTCACCGGACTGAGAAAACTACGGCCCACGTTCACCCGGGTAGGAAGCCTGCCTTTGGGCTCAGTCCTATTTGGGACGGGCACGCGTGTGCCCATTTTATGGATAAGGAAACTGAAGCTCAGAGAAGAAGTCTCACAGCCAGCAGGCGGAGCTGGGAGTCCAACAGCTTTGGTCTGAACTCCCTCCCCCTGTCCAGTGGGAGCCCCCGCCCTGTCGGAAGTCTGTTTCCTAAATCTCACTCTCCACACATTCTATCCACTTCCCCCCAGCAATCCAGCTGACTGGGACAGGCTATTACCATCTCCTTCCAAGAACCCCTTCTGCTGAGCCAGGGAAACCCACTTCCTAGCAGGGCAGGGGCAGGACAGGAAGGAAGAGGCCTGTGTGGGGGTGGACCTCTAAGAGGCGGAGACATCTGGGCCTTGGGGAAGGAGAGCTAGAAGCAAACCTACAGAGCTGACACCCACCACCATTCATCTGTTTTCCCTGCTCCTGCCCACAGAATCCTTTTTTTTTTTTTTTTGTATGATCCAAAAGCCCCATCCCGGGGAGCAGGTGCCAAATCCGATACCCAGTCCTTGCCCCCAAAGCCCAATCTCTCACTTCCATGCCTACTCCGACCCCTCAACTCACCTCCCCGCTGGAAAGGCCCCTCACATCGCACCCCATTTCATGTCTGGCATCCATTCCCTACCTCCGGGCCTTCTTCCCCTCTGCAGCACGCTTTCCCGGACCCTAAAGGCCCGTTCCCCATAGCGGTCTACTTCCCGCCTCCTCTTCCCAGGCGCCCACCAACTGTATCCCGCCTGTTCCAACACCCCCTTCCGCCTGCAATGCCAGCTTCCTGCCTCCAGAGACCCTTTCTCTTTTATCCCGATGCCTCTCCTTCTCCCACGCCCCCAGAGGGCCCTCCTCTGGGGTCGCCCCCTCTTTCTACCCTCGACACCCAGCCTCAGCAATTGCCTCCCCGTTTCAAACCCCCTCTCCCCCAGTCATCTCCAATGTCTCCCACTCGGATAGCCCTCTCCCCTCGGCACCTTCTCTCCAACGACCCGTAGCCTCCAGACCCCCCGCTGTATCCCCCGAGCCCAGAACCCCCGTTCAGTTCCCCGCTTCCCGGCCTTTGATCGGCCCCGATCCCGACAGCTCGCGCCCGGCCCAGACCAAGGCGCCGCCGAGGGGGGGCTTGTCAGTGCCCGACCCAACCTCCAACCTGCGCGTGGACCCACCCTCCTCCCGTCCCCACCGCGAGCGCGCCCCAGTTACCATGGCGACCCCCGTCCGGACCCCAGCAGCCCCGGTCCCGCGGCGACTGGGCGGCTCCCGCTCTGCAAGGTGTTGGGGGACCCGAGGCTAGAGCGGACTTCCGGCAGAAGAAGCCGCTTGCCCTCTGGCGCACAGCCCTCTGGGAAATGTAGTCCCAAGAATGAGTTTGCGCGTCAGGGTGGCGAGGTGGGGAAAAGAGGCGGTCCTTCTTCCCAACCTCCTGAGAAATTGTCCGTTTTCCTCTGTCCGGTTCAGGCTCCACAGGCATGCTAAGAGTCGTGGGTGCGTGTCTCTTCGGAGGACTACAATTACCGAAAAAGCCCTCTGCGGCGGGCGTTGCATTCTGGGAAAGGTAGTTCTAATGGCCTCTCCTCCAAGGCGAGCTGGGCATGCTGGGAATAGTAGTTTTAAATAAGAAACTGCGTGCGGGGCGCTTGAAATGTAACTAACTGTCTTTCCGTGCTCACCCACGGCTTTGTTTAGAACACGCTGAGTGTTTCCCTACGGGAAACAGAGAGTAGTATAAGAGCGTGAACGGTGTGCAAATTCTGCCGTTGCTCTTCCTAGCTGTGAGACTTTGGGCCAACACCTTCACCTCTTAATTTCATCTGTAAAATAGGAGCCATCCAGGGGTTGCCTCGGTAGGGTTGTTTTAAAGCTTTGATAATTTCCAGAGTACCCAGCATAGTGCTTGACACATAGTAAGTGCTCAATAAATATTAGCCAACATCATGAATATTCATCGTTTAACATCAGGTAATAGGGGTCTTCTTACTTCCTATCCAGAGATACACTGTCTTCTTTAAACTATGCAAATTGGCCCAGGGCCTTGTCTCCTCGTGCCTTTTGGAACGTCTTCCTCCCTTCCTTCTAAGGCTGGCTCCTTTTCTTTTTTAAAATAGGTTTTCATTTATTTTAGAGACAGAGAGAAAAAAAAAAATCCATCGCCCCCTACTGGGGAATCCCACCCCGTCAGCATTAGAACTGATGACCTCTCTGCCCATGGGACAATGCCCCACGGAATGAGCCACACCAGCCAAGGAGAGGCTGGCTTCTTTTCTTCCTTTATTTATTTTAAACAGCACTCCACTGAACCTATTAATACATATGAAGGTTCCCCTCTCATACCCCCAATTATGTAGGTAAGTAGTTTGATTTTTTTTATAGCCTTTATTACAACTTTTTTCTCTAAAACAACTCCCTATGATTTTATTTGGTGCGTGTGTGTTGATCTCCCACTAGGTGGTAAGCTACAGAGGGTAGGGAGGCTAGTAACTGTATCTACATTACCTAGTGTGGCGAGCCGGCACCGCCACGGCACACACAGCCCCAGGGCGCCATAGGGGCCACGCCAGCTCGGCCAGGCTCAGTGACCCTCAGAGGGGGCGGTGAAGGATTGAGAAAAGACAGACAAGAGAATGAAAGATGGGTCCGGGTGGGACGCTGTTCCCGCACGGACAGTGCCACAGACTACAAGACGTTTCTTTATTTTATAGCAAGCCTAGAGGCCCAGTGCACAGAATTTGTGCACTGGCTGGGTAGGGGAGGGGGTCCCTCAGCTTGGCCTATGCCCTCTATAAGTGGGACCCCTTGCTCCTTACCACCCACCTGCTCGATGCTCCTTATTGCTCAGCTCCCTGCTCCTTAGAGGCTCCCACCACAGCCACTGTGGAGCGCTCTCACCGCCAGGGGGCAGCTCCTGTGTTGGGCATCTGCCCCCTGGTGGTCGGAGTGCATCATAGTGACCATTCTGGTCATTCCACCATAAGGTCAGGTAGACTTGTTATATAGATGCCAGGAGTCAAAGGAAAGGCGTGGTCAAGATGTTTACAACCTTCTCGTGGGTTTCGATCCTACTCAGTTACATGCACCTGATCCAGCTTTGTTTACTTGCAGCCTGTATCACTTAGCCCGTGGTCGGCAAACTGCGGCTCTTTGGCCTCTTGAGTGTGGCTCTTCCGTGAAATACCATGGCCTGGGCTAGTCTATTTTGAAGAAGTGACATTAGAAGAAGTTTAAGTTTATTTATTTTTATTATTTTTTTATAAACATATTTTATTGAATTTTTTACAGAGAGCTAGAAACATTGATGAGAGAGAAATATTGACCAGCCACCTCCTGCACACCCTCCTCCAGGGATGTGCCTGCAACCAAGGTACATGCCCTTGATCGGAATCGAACCCAGGACCCTTCAGTCCGCAGGCCCACACTCTATCCACTGAGCCATTCCTGTTTTGGCAGAAGGAGTTTAAGTTTAAAAAATTTGGCTCTCGCCGAAACCGGTTTGGCTCAGTGGTAGAGCGTTGGTCTGCGGACTGAAAGGCCCCTGGGTTCGATTCCGGTCAAGGGCATGTACCTTGGTTTCGGGCACATCCCCGGTAGGGGGTGTGCAGGAGGCAGCTGGTCGATGTTTCTCTCTCTGTTTCTCTCTCATCGACGTTTCTGGCTCTCTGTCCCTCTCCCTTTCTCTAAGAAATAAATAAAATATATTTTTAAAAAATGTTGGCTCTCAAAAGAAATTTCAATCGCTGTACTGTTGCTATTTGGCTCTGTTGACTCATGAGTTTGCCGACCACTGACTTAGGCACGTGGGGCCGTGTGTTTGGACCACAGGTTCCAGCTGACAATCCAGCTGCTGGCCATCGTTGTGCTGAGGGCCCTGCCCTCCACGCTGGGACTTGCACGTGGCCATGAGGACTGTGCCCTCTCCTCAGTCCGAGGCTTGAACCTGTCCAAACACTGTAGCTGCTCACCAAAGGTATTACTATCGATACTGAAGGGAGACTGGCCTAATAAAAACAAAGCATATCCTAGAACAATGTAAATTTAAAGTGTTGTATTGGCAGAAGAACCGACTCAAAACTATTGAATTATCACGAAGGCAAAAAGGAGGTCAGTGTTGCTCAGTGGTTGAGTGTTAATCTGTGAATCAGGAGCTTCCCTCTCTCCCTGAGGTAAGTGAACAGGTGCCGTCGTCTCCCCCACGTGACCTTCACCCCATACTTCTCCTCAGGGGTGTCTTTAACCAGAACAGGCCCAGGCTCTGGGCTCTCAGAAGTGCTAGAGTGAAGGGAACTGCTTGGCAGGCTGTTTTCCTTATGATCTGGGGCGAGCAGCCTTTGCTTCACAGGAGATGACTCTGGGGTCTGGATATCAGGTGCAGTGAACATATAAGGTAAGTTTTGAAGTGCGTGTGTTGACATTTCCCCACAGCTTGGGGGGCTTAGCATTGGAACTAAGGGCTTTCGGAAATGTCCTTTACTGAATGATTGGGGCACTGCTGGATTAAGGGGCCTCTGAGTGTGGCTGAACTGGAAGAAGACGGTGGACTCTCAAATGTTAGATGTGGAAACTTGGAGGTGGCAGATTTTCGATTTGGACGATGCTTCCCTTTCCTGTTGGCTGGGAACCAGCTTTCTGCTGTTGTATCAAACTGAGGTGATACCCAGGAAGTGATGGTGTTGTGGTCAATAGGCTTGCTGGGCACCTGTCTAGTGTGGGTGATGGGAAGCTGTGGCGATCTATAGAGGTGTCTGGGGCCCTCCACGGGCTGTTGGTGGAATAGCAGCTGGGCTTTCTGGGATGTCTGGCGGCGTTTTTTTCTGGGAGGCATCAATAGGTGATTGAAGAGCGGTTAGTAGCCGCATGGTGCTGGGTGTAGTCAGGTACCAGGAGAGGCTCCAATTCCAACCCATGCCCGCCAGGAGGCGCCTGGGCCGCTGCTCCTGCCGCCACCGCCGCCACCACATTCTGAAGTTATTTTTTTAAATATATGTTTATTGATTTCAGAGAGGGAGAGAGAGAGAGGGAGAAACATCAATGATGAGAGAGAATCATTGGTTGGCTGCCATCTGCACACTCCACACTGCGGATTGAGCCCACAACGCAGGCACGTGCTCTGACAGGGAATCGAACAGTAACCTTCTGGTTCATAGGTCGATGCTCAATTGCTGAGCCACACCAGCCAAGCAGCAATGAAATTCTGATAAATGCTACTACATGGATGAACTTTGTGAGTGAGTGTGTGTGTGTGTGTGTGTGTGTGTGTGTGTGAGTGAGTGTGTTTGTGTTTATGAGAGAGAAAGAAAGGGAGAGGGAGAGAGAAAGGGAGGGAGAGAGAAACATCAGTGTGAGAGAGAAGCATCCATTGGCCCATTGGCTGTCTCCCATGTCATCGCAACTGGGGATTGAACCTTGAACAGACAACCTAGGTATGTTCCCTGAATGGGATTCGAACCTGCAACCTTTTAGTAAATGGGACAAAGTTCCAACCAACTGAGCCACATCGGCCAGACTGAAGTTTGAACACTACATGCTGTGTAAAAAGATAAACACAAAAGGACAAATGTTATGACTCCATGTATATGAGGGAACTAGAACAGGCAAATTTATAGAAACAGAAAGTAGAACACAGGTTATCAGGGGCTGGAGCATGGGAGGGAGGCAGACAGGGCATTACTGTTTCATGGATACAGTTTCAGTTTGGTTTAGTTAAAAAGTTCTGAAAATGGCCCTGACTGGTTTGGCTCAGAGGATAGTGTGTCAGCCTGCAGACTCGAGAGTCCCAGGTTCGATTCGGTCAAGGGCATGTACCTTGGTTGTGGGCACATACCTAGTAGGGGTTGTGCAGGAGGCAGCTGATCGGTATTTCTCTCTCATTGATGTTCCTGACTCTATCCCTTTCCCTTCCTCTCTGTAAAAAAATCAATAAAATATATATTTTTAAAAAGTTCTGAATAACATTGTGAATGTACTTAATGCCACTGAATTGTACCCCTAAAAGTGGTTAAAATAGTAAATTTTACGTTACTTATATTTCAACACAGTAAAGTATGTTACACAATTTCTGTTAAACAAAAACCTTCACAACTCAGTAGTTGCTTACTGTGTTACAGACATGATTCTAAGCAACTCATTCACTGAAACCTCAAAACAACTTTAGCCTGGCCAGTGTGGCTCAGTGGTTGAGCTCAACCTATGAACCAGGAGATCACAGTTGGATTCTCAATCAGGGCACATGCCTGGGTGTGGTCTTAGTCCCCAGCAGGAGGCAGCCGATCAATGATTCTCTCTCATCACTGATGTTTCTATCTCTCTCTCCCTCTCCCTTCCTCTCTAAAATCTATAAAAATGCAATCAACAACAACAACAACACAACACAAAACAAAACAAAAAACAAACAGGAAAAAAAAAAACACAACTCTGTAAGGCAGTACTAATATTATCAACCCCATTTTAGAGATGAGGGAATAGAGGTACAGAGAAGTTGAGTGACTTGCCCAAAATCACACAGCTTGTAAATAAATGGTGGAGCTAAGATTCTAGTCCAGGCAGTCTGCCTCCAAATATGGTGCCTCCAGTGACTACACTACGCTGCATTCATTTAAGTGTATAGAGAGATCTGGAGAGGCAAGTGGTATAGGCTTGGGTTGTTCAAAGACACTTCACCCTTATATATACACTAAAGACCTGGTGGCGGTGCAAGAGTAGATGTTCCTTCCCCTGGCTTTGCTCCTGGCCACCCGGGAGCCTGCAAGTCCTCGCTCCAGACTGGAGCACTGCTCCTGTACCTCCCTCTGCCCCCCTACCTTCCCTTCATAGCAGGTGGCCCATCCCACCCAGCTGCTCTGTGTTTGCATATGCAAATTAATATGTCATCTTTGTTGGGTTGATTTGCATGCTCACTCCTAATTGGCTGGATGTTGTCCTGGAGGTGTGGCAATTTGCATATTTAAAAAATATATATATTTTTATTTATTTATTTTTTACAGAAAGGAAGGGAGAGGGATAGAGAGTTAGAAACATTGATGAGAGAGAAACATAGATCAGCTGCCTCCTGCACACTCCCCACTGAGGACGTGCCCACAACCAAGGTACATGCCCTTGACAGAATCGAACCTGGGACCTTTCAGTCCCCAGGCTGACGCTCTATTTACTGAGCCAAACCAATTAGGGCGCATATTTTTCTTTTATTAGTGTAGGCTAGAGGCCCAATGCATGAAATTCGTGCAAGAGCAGGCCTTCCTTCCCCCAGCTGCCAGCACTGGCTTCCCTCTAGCACCCAGGACCTGGGCTTCCCTCTGGCATCTGGGACAAGGACTTCCCTCACAGCCCAGCTTTGTCTGGAAGGTCGTCCGGATGGTCATCTGGTCTAATTAGCAGGTTACGCTTTTATTATTACAAATATGTATAAATTTATTGATTGATTGATTTCAGAGAGAAAGAGAGAGGGAGAGATAGAAACATCAATGATGAGGGAGAATCATTGATCCGCTCCAGCCCACAACCCCTGCATGTGCCATGACCGGGAATTGAACCCTGACCTCCAGGTCGTAAGTTGATGCTCAACCGCTGAGCCATACCGGCCGAGAGAATGCATCTTATCTGGATTATTTTATTTATTTATTGTTAACATTTTACTTTGTTTCTTTATTGTTTTTCAAAACCAATTTTTAAAAGTTTGTTTTTATTGATTTTTTAGAGAGGAAGCGGGGGAGAGAGAAACATCAGTGATGAGAGAAGATCAGTCTCTGGCATGTAGGTTCAAGAAATAGGGTCAGAAAAAGGACCAAGTAGAAATTAAGCATACACTGACTGAAGGAGGAGGAGGAGGAGGAGGAGGAGGAGGAGGAGGAGGAGGAGGGTCAGCCCTGCCAGTGTGGCTCTGTGGTTGAGTGTGAACCTATGAACTAAGAAGTCACTGGTTCAGTTCCCTGTCAGGTCACCTGTCTGGGTCGTGGGTTGGTATTTTAGGGAGGGTGGAAGAGAGAGGGAAAGACAGAGAGAATATCGATGTGAGAGAAACACATTGATTGGTTGTCCCCTTCCACGAGATGCCCCCCTCCCACCACCACCAGGGCCAGGTGGGGGAGGAGCCCTTGACCAGATTCAAACCCTGGACCCTTTGGTCCGAAGGACGATGCTCTATTCACTGAGACAAACTGGCTAGGGCAATCTTCTTTGTATACAGTCCATTTTAAAAAAATCCTCAACTTCTTGTCTTCCAAGCACTTTGCAATAATGCTCATGTTTTTCTTGTAACTTAATATATACATATATATATATATATATATATATATATATATATATATATATACATACATATATTTAAATATATATTTTATTGTATTTTTTCTTTTTTAAATATATATTTTATTGATTTTTCACAGAGAGGAAGAGAGAGGGATAGAGAGTTAGAAACATCAATGAGAGAGAAACATCGATCAGCTGCCTCTTGCACACCCCCTCCTGGGGATGTCCCCGCAACCAAGGTACATGCCCTTGACCGGAATCAAACCGGGACCTTCTGTACAAAATCAATAAAATATATTAAAAAAAAACAAACAAAAAAAAAACCCGGGACCTTTCAGTCCACAGGCCGATGCTCTATCCACTGAGCCAAACCGGTCCGGGCATATTTTATTGATTTTTAACAGAAAGGAAGAGTGAGGGATAGATTAGTTAAAAACATCGATGAGAGATAAATATCGATCAGCTGCCTCCTACACACCCACTACTGGGGATGTGCCCGCAACCAAGGTACATGCCCTGACCGAATCGAACCTGGGACCTTTCTGTCCGCAAGCCGACGCTCTATCCACTGAGCCAAACCGGTTTTGGTATAATTTAACATATTAAAAGAGCTTTTAAAAATTGATTTTGAGCCTGGCTGGTGTGACTCAGTGGTTGAGCACTGACCCAGAAATCGAGGGATCATGGTTCGATTGGAATTCAGGGTACATGCCTTGGTTGGGGGCTCCATCCCCAGTGTGGGGCATGCAGGAGGCATCTGATCAGTGATGCTTAAGCAACTGAGCCACAGCGGACAGGCCAATGTTTAAAGTTTACAGAAATTGAGAGGTTCGTTATCAATTCTTGCATCATCTATCTGGTGCGTGCCCACTGCACTGATCCTTAGGCGCTGAGATAACGCAGTGAGCCCGAGCATCTTCGGCTCCCATTCCTCCCCCGTGATTGGCTGGCCGTCTGGCCAATGGCGGGAGAGTGCACTGCTCTCCGCCTCCTCCCGCAGCATCAGCGAGCTGCAGCTTCCCAGTTCGGCTGGTAGGTGGCGCTGTGAGCACACCGACGCCTCGGCCAAGTGCAAACTTGGTTTCCACCCTCTCCCATTCCTTTTGATTCTGAGAAATGGAGAGAGAATATGCTCCACACCTCCACCTTCTTCGCAAAATTATGTGTTATTTTTTTTTATTGATTTTCCACAGGGAGGAAGGGAAAGGAATAGAGAGTAAGGTGACCAGATGTCCCGATTTTTAACAATTCGTCCCAAGTCCCGAGGCATTTTAAATCGGGACTGTCCCGCCAAAAGCGGGGTGTCTGGTCACCTTAATAGAGAGCTAGAAACATCGATGAGAGAGAAACGTCGACCAGATGCCTCTTGCACACCCCCTTCCAGGGATGTGCCCGCCAACAAATGAACATGGCCTTGACAGGAATCAAACCTGGGACTTTTCAGTCCACAGACTGAGCCAAACCGGTTTCGGTGGCAAAATTCTTGGTGGCTTTTCCCGCCTGTACATCTCTCCCAAGCTGGTCTGGATCCCCAGGCCCCGCCTTGTACCTACTCTGGCTTTTGGGTTGGTGTGACCCCCTGCCCCAGTCATTGGGGCCTCTAGGGCAGTGCTTGGGCAATCTTGACAGCGGCCCAGGCCGTCAGAACTTCCTTCTGTCCAATAATTGTTTGTTGGGTTGTTTATTTATCCTGGAGTGGAGGCTGGCAGGGTGTATGGGGGCGGCTGCCTCAGGGAAGCCTGCTTCCGGCGGTTGGCTTGCTCAGCTGACACCCGCCCTCGCCTTCGCCCTTGGGAAAGCACTGCGGAGCTGGGAGGACTTTCCTTCATGGTTCCGTTAGGCCATCCAGGGAAACCCTGCCCAAGCCTCTGCCCTATGCCTGGACCTAAACTGGGGACCTCAGCGGTGACCGGAGTCCCAGCCCTGTCCTCAGGGCGCTCAGTCTGGTGGGAGAGAAAGACCATCCCTAGACATGGACAGTCCAGGGTGGTCAGGGTTTGGGTGAAGGACCCAAAGGAGCTGTTTGTGCGAATAAAGAAGGGGAGCCTGAAGCAGCCTGGAGGTCAGGAAGGGCCTCCTGGAAGAGGGGACCCCTGAGCTGGCTCTAAGAGAGGGGCAGGAGTTAGGCATGGGACAAGGACTCTGTCTTTTTAGCTACCATTCATCTCTTTGGTTTAACATTGGATTCTTTTATTTATTAACAAATATTTATGGTGGATTACTTGCTAGAGGAACTAGCCCCATGGTCAGCAAACTGCGGCTCGAGAGCCACATGCGGCTCTTTGGCCCCTTGAGTGTGGCTGGTAGTTCCACAAAATACCACGGCCTGGGCGAGTCTATGTTGAAGGAGTGGCGTTAGAAGAAGGTTAAGTTTTAAAAAGTTGGCTCTCAAACGAAATTTCAATCGTCCTGTTGGTATTTCGCTCTGTTGACGAATGAGTTTGCCGACCACTGAACTAGCCAGAGTCCCTGACTTCAAGGGCTCACACATAAAATGGATCACCAATGCAGAACTTCAAACTCTGATGGAGTGCTATGAAGATAGTGCCGGGACCGGTTTGGCTCAGTGGATAGAGCATCGGCCTGAGGACTGAAAGGTCCCGGGTTCGATTCCGGTCAAGGGCATGTACCTTGGCTGCAGGCACATCCCCAGTAGGGGGGGTGCAAGAGGCAACTGATAGATGATTCTCTCTCATCGATGTTTCTAACTCTCTATCCCTCTCTCTTCCTCTCTGAAAAATCAATAAAAAAATTTTGGTAAAAAGAAAAAGAAAAAAAAGAATGAAGATAGTGATCCATCCACTTGTCTGGGTTCGAATCGCAAATCTGCCACTTACTAGCTGTGTCACCTCTCTGTGCCACAGTTTAGTAGAATAATACTTACAGGCTAAATCTTAATTAACTCCCTTGATCCTCCTCAACACCTTTTGAGTAAAGTGCTTTAGAATGTTGCCTAGCATAAAGTGCCCATTTTTATCAAAGAATGATGGGTCAAGAAAAATCTGGGAGGCCACCCTAATGAAGTGACTTCAAGTTGAAACTTGAAAAAAAAGGGGGAGGGGCCCGGCTAGGGTGGCTCAGTGGTTCAGCATCAACCTTTGAACCAGGTCACAGTTGGATTCACGATCAGGGCACGTGTCCGGGTTGTAGGCTTGAACCACCCAGTAGGGGACATGCAGGAGGCAGCCGATCAATGATTCTCTCTCATTATTGATGTTTTTCTCTTTCCATTTCCTCTCCTCTCTGAAGTCAATAAAAATATGTTCAAAAAAAATGTGTGTGTGTGTGTGTGTGTGTGTGTGTGTATCTAGGTTCAGTGAATGAGCCCAGTCTTCTCTCTTCTCCAGATGCTGCCAGTTCACAGATTTCCCAAGGTTAGAAAAAACTGGAACTCTGCACTGGAGTTATAAAGACATTAGTTGGAGGTAGGGAAATCTACCCTACCTCCCTCCATTCTTTCTGGTGTTCCCTCAAGCAACTTCAAAGTCACTTCTAAACCAGTTGTGGTAGTGGTGGCCTAAAGAAAATCTAGCCCATGCACTTGGCTGGCTCCCAGTGCTTAAGACAAACTTTAAAAAAAAAAAAGTCACTAACATCTAAGAATCAGATTTCATGCATTAAAAGAGCTAAATTTTTTGCCCAGATGGCATGGCTCACTGGTTGAGCATTGATCTATGAACTAGGTCATGATTCCCAGTCAGAGAACGTGCCCAGGTTGTGCTTGATCAGCAGGGTGGGGCTTGCAGGAGGCAGCCCATCCATGCTTCTCTCATTAATGATGTTTCTGATTCTCTCTCTCTCTCTCCCTTCCTCTCTGAAATCAACACAAATATTTTAAGTGCTATTTTTTTTTTAAAAAAAGGGTCATGGAAACAACTCTGATTAATAATCAGAAAACTTTTATTCAAATATATTTTTATTTATTTTTTAAGAGAGAGGAAAGGAGAGGGAGAAATAGAAACACAGATCCCGGGCACGTTTAACGGGGAATCGAACTGGCAACCTCCTGGTGCATGAGAGGATGCTCAACCAACTGAGCCACACCGGGCTGGGCCAGAAATCTCTTATTCAATGGGGTGTTTTAAAACTCGAGCGCATGTCATTTTTATCATCCCTTATAGAACAAGCCATGATTTCCAGCGCTTTACAACTATAACTCAAATCTCACAACTCTATGAGGACGGTAAGATTGTTCTTCCATCTTCTAGACGAAGAGACGGAGGAGAGAAACGCAAAGCTGCAGTAGGAAGCAGCGCCTTGCTTCATGCATTCCACAAATACTGACTCGGCGCCTGGAACGCTCATGGTCCAAGATCCATGTTTCCGGAGGGGCCCCAGAGGAACCCCTCCTCGGCTCGGAGGAACTCGAGCGCTACAGCGGGCAAGTGGCCGTCACTACCATTTCCCCTCCAGACGCCCACGCCGACAGCTGCTCTGCAGTCATGTGTGCAATGCCGACTGGGGAGCCGGGGCTCCTCTCCCGGGTTCCTGGCGATCACAGGAATCGGAGCCAGCAGCATGGATGCGAGCGAGCGTTGACTGCAGATCTCCTCCACCGCCGGGCCCCGAGCACGCGCTCCCTAGCCCCGCCCCTCCTCCAGCGACGACCAATGGCAGGGCTCGGTTGGGCTGGGGCGGGCGGGCCCACCCCTCCGCGTGCTCCCCAGTCAACTCCTTCGCTGGGCGCGCCCCCCCCACCCCCCCGCTCCTTGGCCCCTCCTCACCGCCCCACGTTACGTCTCCCCCTCTCTCCGCCTCGGTTACCCCGGGAGCCGCGGCTCGCGCGGCAAGCCCACCTCCCCCGGCCTCCCATTGGCTGGCCAGGTCCCGCGCGATCCGAATCGCCCCCGCCCACGCGGGACGGCCCGAGCCACCCTCCAGCTTTTCTCCCAGAGCCAGCGCGAGGAGGAGAGGGGTGAGGAGGGGCGGGGGGACCGTCGACTGCCTCTGAGGCGCGCACCTCCCGCCGGCCACGCCCTCCGCCTCGCGCCTGCAGCTGCGGCGGCGGCTGGCAGCCCCGGCCGCGCACGCGCACTGGCCCGCCCCGCGCCGCCCGGCCGCGGGTCGCCTCGCGCCCCGGCTCGCGCCGCAGTCCCTGCAGCAGCGGCGGCCGCGGCATCTCCCCGAGGCGCACGCGCACTGCGCCCTCCCTCCGCGGCCGTTCCCAGCGCCGGGCCGCGGCGGCGGCGGCAGTGACCGCCTCCCTCGGGGGGTGCACGCGCTCCCGCACCTCACCCTGCCCCGCGCCGGCTGAGCCCCCCGCGGCGCGCTCCCGGGGGCCGTTATCCTGCAACGGTCTCGGCGCCGCGCACGCGCAGTAGCGAGGGGGGGCGCGCGCGCTCGCGAGAGGGAGGGAGCGGCGGCCGCAGGAAAGAGGTGCCGCCGCCGCCATTGCGAAGGAGGGAGGGAGGGAAGGAGCGAGCGAGGCCGGTCCGCCCTCCCCCTGGTTCCCGCCCCTCCCCCTCCCCTCCCCGCCCCCCCGGCCCCGAGGGAGCGAGCCGCGGCGCGGCGGGAGCTGCGGGAGGTGGAGGAGGCGGAGGAGGGAGTCCGCGAGGGAGGGTCCGCCCGGCCCCCCGCCGCCGCCGCCGCCGGAGCCGCCTCTAAGACGAGGAGCAGCAGAACATGGCGCCGGGGCCGCCGTCGACACAGCCGGGCTCCCGGAGGCCGGGGCCGCGCTGAGGGCGCCCCGCTTGGTGAGTGCGCGAGCTCGTGGGCCCCGGCGGCGAGGCCGGGCGCCGCCCCGCTGCGGGGTCCCGGGGGAGGCGGGGGGCCGCGGCGCCCGGAGCCCGCGAACAATGGAGGAGCCGGAGGGGGAGGGGAGGGAGCGGCCCCCCAGCGCCCCGCGCCCCGCCGGCCCCGCCGCTCGGTGCCGGGGCCCGGCCCGCGGCGCCCGCCGGCCCCTCAGACAGGCCCCTGGCCGCCCGCCGGCCTCCGCCCTCCGGCCGGGACCTCGGTGGTATCCGCCTCGCCACCCCCTCCCCACGCTCCAACCCCTCTGCTCCCCATTCTGCACCCCCCCACCCTCACCCCTTCCGCCTTGGCCCCTCCTGGGCTCTGCAGTGCTCGCGGGATCCCTGCCTCAGGAACCCCTCTTCTGCGCCCCTGGATTCTGGGTGCCCCCACTCCCGGGTTCCTGACCTCCCTCTGCCTCTCCGCCGATCCCGCTCCGTCCCCTCTTCCTGCGGCCCTCCTCTCTGACCCGCCTGCGCTGCCCCTCCTCGCAGGATCTGTTGCATCCCCAGGAGCTGTCCCTCTACCTGCGGGCCCACCTCCTTGGAGCTCCTTCCGAGACGCTGTTCGCCTAGCACCGCCGCCTCAGGCCTTCTCCCCCCGACTCAGTGTCGCCTCCGTCTTGGGCCCTGCTGCCCACTCTCAGCACCTGCTGCACCCCAGGGTGCCCCCGGCTCCGTGACCTTCCCCACCTCCGTGCTGCCCCCTGCTCCCTCATGCTGTCTGCACCCCCTCTCCTCCTGGGTCTTTCTTCTCTTTGCCATTCAGACAGACCCTTTCCCCGCTTCCAGACCTTTCTGCCTCCCGGCTCTACCCCTTGCCCGGTTCCAGCTCTTGCTGTGCCCCCCGATGTGCTTGCTTTTCCCCCTGACTGACGCTGCCTTCCCTGAGCAGCCTCCTCCCCATCTCTGACCCTGCAGGGCTCTCGTTCCTGCCATGCCCTTCTCTGCCGGCCTCTCTCTAACCCACCCAGCCTTCCCGCACCCCCAGAGCCGCCCTGAGGGCTCGGTCTGCCCCGGGATTCCTGAGGTTTTTCTCTTCCCACCTCCTCTTTGCTCCTCGTGAGCTATTTCATTCATTTGCTCCCCCTTTCTTTGACCTGTCTCCCCTTCCCTTCTTTCCTGTAGACCGGCTTCCAGCATCCTCTTTTTTGCTCCCCGTCCTCTCGTCTTCGTCTCCATTTGGGCCCTTTGCCTCGTTAAACCCTCGATAACTTCTCTGTGACCCATCACCCCCTTCCCTTCCTGTTCTTCCTCTCCTAGACCTGCCCCCAGATCCTTTTTGCACCTGTTCTTCCATTTGTTCGCTTCTGCTCCATCCTCTTCAATGTCCTCCCCCCATTGGAGCTGTCCACTCGCTCACCTATTTTTTTGGACCCATTTCAACTTTTCCTACCGCTGTCCCTTCCCGAGCCGTCCTCTCTCAGCCTGGCTCCCTGTAACTGCCTTCACCTCTGCTGCTTCTCAGGTCTACCATCACCACCTGACCTCTCCCCCCACCATTTTGATTCGGCTCTCAACCTCCTCTCTCCCCGTTCTGGTGTTTGTCCTCCCCATTTTGCCCTGCCTCGTGCCTTTTTGAGTCCTCCTTCCCTGAATTCTGCTCCATATTAGATGTCTTTGCAAGCATTTCTTCCCATCACCGCCTGCCTCCCCACCCCCAGAACCCCCTCTTGGAGCCCCCTGAGTTTTTGGATGGATTCTTCTCTTCCTCCCTTGGAAACCCCTCCCAGTTTTGTTCCTCATTGATTTCTTTCCTCTCTTACCTCTCCCCATTAAGTTGCTATCATACTGCTTCTCCTAGCTCCCCTCCCTGACCCGCCCATTGCCCCTGAGTGCTCCCCCTCTCAGGCATGCCTCTCTCTGGTTTCCGTCTCACTTTGGAGAGGAAGGGCTGGGTTGGGTTTAGGGCTCTCCAGGCTCTGATTTAGACTGCAGATTCCTTCTGCTCCCTGATCCTGAGGGTTTTATCCCGAGGAATCCGGTGAGATCTGGGTAAAGAGGTGGGCGCTGGTTGATTGGTCACTGCTCTCTGGAGTCTGGGAGTGTCCCCCTGCCCCCATCCCCTTTACCAAGGTTAGTGGTGGTAGCGGGTGGATCTCTGTCCAGCTCCCCATTTTCTTTCCCTCGCCCATTTTGATCCCCAGCCCCTCAGTTCCCTGGGCTGAGCTGCTTTGTGTCCTTTAGAAAAGGAGAGTGCAGCTGCTCACAGGTCTTCCCTCTCCCCCTCACCCCCACCCCCACTTCCCTGAGCTATTGTGAGAGACAGTTGTACCCTCTCCCCCTCCACCGCTATGCCAGCACCCTTCGGGAGAACTTAGGAGTGTGCTTTTTGTTTTGTTCTGCAGCTGACAAGTCATATTTCTGTTTTACCCCCGTCTGGGGAAATGCCAGCCCTCCAGTTCTCCCCAGTCTAAGCGGGGCTTACGGACACAGCATTTACTGCTCTGGGCCTGCAGAGCCCTCTCTGATGGTCTGCAGTGTAACTTGGTGGGGGTGGGGGAGGGGGCTCATTTCTTTTACCTCTGCCCCAGGAAGGCTTCAACTTCCTGGTCTTGAAAACTGTGAGGGCCCGGGTTTGGAAGGCTCTTTGCGGTTGTTTGTTGAAGGAGAGTGCCAAGTGTCACTCGGATTTCTGCCCTCTGGCATTGCAGGCACTTCCACCCACAGGAGTGAATGCCTCTGGCAGATTCATGCCGGATTGTGCGGGAAGGGGCTCTCCGCAGCACTGGGGTGTATGGGTGGGCCCTGACCTGCCCCAAGCCTTTGGAGGGACCTGGTTTGATAGCGAGAAAGCGGTGCCAGAAACCGGCTGATTCCTTAGGATTTTTGTTCTTACCTGGGAAATGCAGCTGAGCCACCTTTCCTTGAGCTGTTTTCTTGAGTGATCTGATGTTGGGGGTGGGGCTTAGGAGATTCATTCAGAGGAAGAGGTGGTTTTTACAGAAAAGCCATCCAACTATTTTCCTTCCTTAACTTAGGAGAGGGAACCTTTTGCATGTCCTAGGTTTATTTATTTTACTTCTTAAGTAAATCAAGAGCCAGATTTTCCCCCTCAGGAATTGGCCCAGGGCAATTGCATATTAAAGCATCCATCCAGCTGTGAAGGAGCATTTACTGGAAGGACTCTATTTCTTAACTGAGTTATGATCAAACTTTATTTACTTCAGCACTTATTTAAAAATAGTTTTATGTGAACGCATTTGAAATAAACATTGACTGTCATCTACAAAATTGGACCATTGACTGACTCATCACGTGTTAGGGCATTTGTATGTAAGACAATGAGCTGGGCTGGCTGGGTAGTAGAGCCATATGGCTCCTTTAGCTTCTAAATTCTTTGGACTTTAAATTTTCTGACAAGCAGAGGCTGGTAATTTTAATTATGTATGGCATGTATCTTCACCATTATTGACTTAAGAATTTTCATTCATTTTCCCTGGTTTCTTTTAATTTCTGAATTTTGGCCTTGTGAATTATGATTAATTCTCTGAATTTTATGGTCCCCATGTTGGTATAAATAGTTGTGTGTGTTTTTTTTTGTGTGTGTGTGTGTGTGTGTGTTTGTGTTTTTTTTTGTTTTTTTTTTTTTTTTAGAAGAAGGGGTAGGTAGAGAGATAGAAAGTTCCATGAGAGAGAAACATCATCGATCAGCTGCCTCCTGCACACCCCCACTGGGGGTCAAGCCGGAAACCAGGGTATGTGCCCTGGCTGAGAATTGAACCTGTGACCTCTTGATTCTAACTGATTGCTCAACTGCTGAGCCACACCGGCTGGGCGGTATAAATAGATTTTAAAAATCTTAATGTGGAAATGGCAGCTAATTAAGAATACAAACAACTGTGTATGCAGTACCGCTTTGTGTCCCCGGCTTCTAGCACCACTGGCAGGACAGAAAATTTCTGCATGCCCAAGCCCAAGTTTACATAATAGGAAGAGAGGATACAGAAGAACAAAGAGCTGATTTTTCTTTCTCGCTGGTAACTGATGTTCCAGAGACTGTCAGATTTCTCTGATGGCAGCCGAGGCTCTGACCCAGTATCAACATTGGCTCTCAGGATGGAATTGGTGCTACAGAAATCCGAGGTGGTAGCCTTGGCCTTCTGGAACAGTGAATGTGCCAGGCGGGGGTAGGGTGTGGAGCAGGAGAGGGTGGTAGATGACTGCAACCTGGTGGCATGTCTTCGAGGGCTTTTGCCCTGCCTAGAATATCTTTGCAGTACTGGCCTGGTCAAAGTTCTGTTCTTTTTTTAACCCTTTTTTCTGGTGGTGTCCCCCCTCCCTTACGTCTTGGCATGATCTACTTTTCTTGGCGTGAAACATTTAAGACAGTAGGGGTGGGGGGCAGGGACGGAGATAGTCATTTCTTTTGATCTGGACACATGGAAGGAGTTGTCCACGTGTAGATCCATGGGCCTGATGGCGACTTCTGGCAAAAGAACAGGCTGGGAGCAGGGATAGTTGCACAGATGACTAAACCACAGCTTCAGCCCTCGCCGGTCAGGCTCAGTGGCTACAGTGTCAGCCTGCAGACTGAGGGGTCCCAGACTCCATTCCAGCCAGGCGCACGCACCCGGGTTGTGGGCTCAGTCCCCAGTGTGGGGCGTGCAGGAGGCAGCCGAGCAATGATTCTCTCTGATCACTGATGTTTCTCTCTCTCTCTCTCCTTCTTCCTTCCTCTCTGAAACCAATAAAAATACATCTAAAAAATAAATAAGCCACAGCTTCATAGGTATTTATGTAGTCGGTCTGTATGTGGTGGGAAAACATATGAGGCCAGTACAGTTGGAGATTGAAAAGGTGAGAGTGGTTTTTCCCTCTCTAGTCTCCTCTGCCTTTCCGTCTTCGGTTTGTGGGTTCTGAGAGTGTTAGGCCTCTTTCCATCCTTCCTGTGATCTGCTGTATTGTCATTCACCACCTGGTGGTCTGAACTGTCTTAATTTACCCAGTCAGTGGGACATTTC